AGGAGGAATTAGTAAAATCRAGGGGGATGCTGACAATGTGATCTAAAGTGGAAGGAATTCAGAGTTTTGAGAATGGAGAAAAATGTCCATTTGTCAAAATCAGAAAAGAAGAAATTTATAGGTGAATTTTCAGAGATAAAATGCATAGTCATTTTGGGGAAAACTAGAAGGTAAATGGAATTAAAAATAACTTGATGTGGAAAAGAATTAAAAATAACTTGAGGCTTTAAGTAGTGACTCTTCAACCTTTTCAATCAAATAGAAATAAAAACCAAAGTTAAGAACATAGACCTCTTGGTGAAGGTGATGAGATTAAAGATTTCAATAATGAAAATGTTAAGAATTATAATAAGGAAAATACTTAAAGAAATGGGATAATGTTAAATTGAGTGTTAGGAAATTTGGTTTTTAGGTGTGTGACCTTGCATGTCTATCTTGAGCCAGTGTTAACTCTAGTCTTTAGTCTTTGAATTCATACAAGAAGAATAAAAGTTGAGATTGCCTTTCAGATAGAAAAATCTTGAATTAACTCAATTAAAAATGGACAAAAAATACAAAGCTACAGTAATCAAGATATCGGTGGTTACTGGTGAAAAGGAAGATGGGTAGATCAATGGAACAGAACAGAAAATCCAGAAAGAGGGTACAGAAGGTGGCACACTTTTGTAAATCCGGTGAGTAGGGAGATTGAGACAGGAGGATTTTGAGTTCAAGGCCAGCCTTGGCAACATAGCAAGACCTGGAAACCAATATCCCTAATGAACATAAATGCAAAATCCTTAAGAAAATATCACAGCTTTGTGCATTATAGCCAGTGAGGTTTTTTCCGAGGTACAACTTTTGCTAATTAAAAACTTAAGAAAATATCACACCACATTCAAAAACACATCAAGGAGATAATATGCCATGATTGAGTGGTTTTTATCCCAGGAATGCAAGATTGGGTCAACATACACAAATCAGTAAATAGAATTCACATAAATAGAATTAAGGAAAAGCATCATATGATCATCTCAATAGACGCAGAAAAGGCCTTTGGTAAAATACAGCACACATTCATGTTAAAAATACTGGAGAAACTAGGGATAGAAGAAATTACTTCAATATTATAAAGGCTATGTATGAAAAACCCAAAGCCAACATCATTGAATGGAAAAAAACTAAAAGCATTTTCTCTAAACTYAGGAATAAGACAATGATGTTCTCACCACTTCTATTTATTTAATATAGTTCTTGAAACTCTAGCCAGAGCAATCAGCAAGAGAAGGAAGGTAAAAGGATACAAATAGGAAAAGGAGAAACCGAACTATTTCTGCTGATGACATGATCCTATATGTATAAGACTCAAAAATTCTACCAGAAGACTTCTAGAACTGATGAGTGAATTCAGCAAAATATCAGGATACAAGATCACACTCATGAATTGATAGCTTTCCCATACTCCAATAGTTATTCAGCTGAGAAAGAAATCAGGAAAACCATCCCTTTCACAATAGCCCCTAATACAAAAACAAAAACAACAGAAACCTGGAAATTAATCTAATCAAGGAAGTGAAAAATCTCTACAATGAAAATTATAAGACACTGAAGAAAGAAATTGAAGAAGACCTTAGAAGATGGAAAGACCTCCCATGTTCTTGGATAGACAGGATTAATATTGTTAAAATGTCCATACTATCAAAAGCAATATACAGATTCAATGCAATTCTCATCAATATCCAATGATATTCTTCACAGAACTAGAAAAACCAGTACTTAAATTCATTTGGAAGAATAAAAGACTTGCAATAGCCAAAGCAATCCTCAGCAAGAAGAATGAGGCAGGGGTCATTCACAATACCTGATCTCTCATTTTTTTTATAGAGTTGTAGTAACAAAACCAACATGGTATTGGCATCAAAATAGACATGAAAATCAACAGAATAGAATGTAAAATAGAGACAAACCCACATACTTACAGTGATCTGATACTTGACAAAGATGCCAAGAATATATGTTGGTAATGGGAAAACTGGTTAGCCGTATGTAGAAGAACGAAACAAGAGTCTTCTTTCAGAGAAGACAAATTAAAGTAGATCAGAGGTTTATGAATTAGACCAGAAATCGTGCAACTACTAGAAGAAAACATAGGGTCAATACTGCATCATATTTTTGTGGGCACTGACTTCCTTAACATGACCCCTAAAGCTCAAGAAATAAAACCAAGAATCGATAAGTGGAATGTCATTAAATTAAAAAGCTTCTGCACAGTAATGGAAATGATTAAGAGTGTGAAGAGAGAATGGGAGACACAGAATGGGAGAAAATCTTTGCCAGTTACCCCTCTTGGGATTAGTATACATAATATATAAAGAACTCAGAAAGCTTAACATAAAAAACTCCAAATAACCCAATCAGTAAATGGGCAAAAGAACTAAATATCCATTTCTTAAAAGAAGAAATGCAAATGGCTCCATATATATGAAAAATGTTCAACACCTCTAGCTGTTAGGGAAATGCAAGTCAAAACTAAGATTTCATTTCACTCCAGTCAGGATGGCAGTTATCAAGAACACAAATAATAATGAATGCTGATGAGGATGTGGAGCAAAAGTTATACTGTTGTGGGACTGTAAATTGGTATAACCACTCTAAAAGCAATATGGTGATTCCTCAGAAAACAAAAACGGAACTACCATTTGACCCTGCTATCCCATTTCTTCGTATTTATGCAAAAGAACTAAAATCAGCATACTATAGTGTTACTGCTACGTTAGTGTTTATAGCAGCACCATTCACCATAGCCAAATTATGGAACTAGCCCAGATATGTGTCAATAGATGAATGGATTAAAAAAATCTTGTGTATATATACAATGGAGTTTTACTGAGCCATAAAGAAGATTAAGTTACAGCATTTGCCATAAAAGGATGGAAATGGGTAACATCATGCTAAGTGAAATAATGCGTACTCAGAAAACCAAGGGTCAAATAGTTTGAGAGAAATGTGGAAGCTAGAGCAAAATAAGGGGAAAAATGAGGGTGGGATCAGATACGATAAAGATAGGGATGATCATTTGAGTGAAGGAAGATCTGCAAAGTAGGGGAAAAAGGGAAGAGAAAGGTAGGGGGAATGGAGACTAAAATGGAATAAATCAAATTCTATACATATATGACTTTGTCAAAATGTATCAGAAAACTAAGTATGACTATAATACCTTAAACAACAAACACACATGCACAAGGGAGAATCCAGAAAGAGACCCACATGTGTACAATCAATTGATTTCCTACAGAGGTAAAAAGGTAATTCAACAGAGAAAGGATATTTTGCAACAAACAAACAGGAACAGATATCTATATGTAAAAAGTTTATTTCCTGTGTTGCACCATTTTTAAAAATTAACTCAAAATGAATCAGACCCCTAGATCTAGGAGGTAACAGATTGTGTTACACAAAGATTTCCTAGATACTACATTGAAAAAAGCATGATCCATGGAAGAAAAAAATTAATGAGGTTAATCAAGATTAAAGCTTCTGCTCTTTGAAACATGTTATTTAAGAAAATTAAAAGATAAACCATATCTGAAATAAAGATCACAAATTCCTCTTAGGAAAATTCCTCAAGTCCTAAAAAATCTGATAGAACATGTCATTTAGGCATTTTACATATCAAATTATGTATTGGATTTTGTGGACTGTGTCCTAATAAAATTTGATGTTTTGAAAAAAGTGAATGTTAACAATATACTAAATTTTAGCAGCTGTAGTTACTTCATTTCCTAAAGATTATGACAAAGAAAAAAGACTGGAATTGCAACAGACACATTGAAAGCAGTTAAGTTCACCTAATGGTACCTGAGGGAGAAGCAGCAAACCAAAAACATGGTAAGAAATAGGCATAAAAATTCAAAAAGCATGTACATGGGGAGTTTCTATCATAGAGACAATTTTTCACATTTAGTAGTTCCAGAGAAATTGACTATACTAATATAAACATACACATAAATTGATGTTCATTTATTTTATTAAAATAGATATTTAACAGTTGTCAAAAAATGAAGCAGTGCTCTTTTTGTGTTCAGTTTCAGAAAGAGTTTGTAACATATTTCCAGAATAAAATAAAATCCAGATAATTTGCACACATTAAAATAATTTTAAAAAGAACTCTTATTTTCTAGTATGGGGGATTGAACCCAGGGTGCTCTGCTACTGAGCTATGTCCTGAGCCCTTTTTAAAAAATATAATTAAAAAAAWTTTTTTGAGATAGACTGGCTAAGTTGCAGGGCTTGAACTTACTATCCTCCTGCCTAAGCCTCCCAAGTAGCTGGGATTACAGTCATGTACCATGACACTTAACTAAAATATATCAATTCTAAGAATACCATTCAATAAATTTTGACAAATATATTTATCCATGTACTCACCACATGAAGGTATGGAAGTTTCTGATCAAACAGAAAGTTATCTTGTTCTTTTTTTCAGTCATTCCCTCATACCTCTGCACTGATCTACTTTCTGACCTTAAAGATTAGTTTTGCCTTTTCTAGAATTTCATATGAAAGGAATTATACAATATATCCTTTTGTATCTTGCTTTTTCTCAGCATAATAATACTGAGGCTTATCTGTGTTGTTAAATTTATTAGGACTTCTCCAATTGTCCAGTAACACTATTGTATGGATATATTACAATTTGTTTATTTATTTACTTTTTAAAATTTGGGTTGTTTCCAGTTTGGGGCTATTATGAATGAAGCTGCTATGAATTGGAAGTTTCTATCATAGAGACCAACAATTCATATTCTGATCTTTCTTATAAGTTTTTTGCTTTATAATCTAAAATTTGAATGTTTTATTAAGTAAAATGAACTATTTTCATTATATGCCATTATAAGGATTTTAAAATACATTTATTTTGTTAGCTGAATAAGAAGAAATCCACATATAATACCTTTTGATAGAGCATCTAATATGTGAATGAGTTAATGAAATATTTGAACTTTTTTTGTTGTTCCTAGGAAGGTTATATTCAAAAGAAAAAAGAACTGTGGGGAATCTGTATCTTTATTGCAGCAGTTGACCTAGATGAGATGCCATTCACTTTCACTGAGCTGCAGAAAAACATAGAAACAAGGTAAAATTTCTTACATAAATTTAGGCCTCTGCTTTTAAAGAAAACTACTTTTGGATTCTTAATAGACTTAGGAAATTAAAAAGAAATGCTAAAATTAAGTAAAACATAAAGGAATAGGTCAAATAGTAAATTGTCATTCTCTCAAGGATCCTTTAATGAAGCTTATTCATGCTGCATCTCTTTTTTTTTAAAGAGAGAGAGAATTTTTAAATATTGATTTATTGGCAGACACAACATTTTTGTTTGTATGTGGTGCTGAGGATCGAACCCGGGCCGCACTCATGCCAGGCGAGCACGCTACCGCTTGAGCCACGTCCCCAGCCCATGCTGCATCTCTTAAAAATTTTGTAGTTTGTGTCCTGGCAAAATTTTTGTCTCTCATTGTTCATCTATAGACTTAATTATAGTTGTTGATAAATTGGACAAAAAAAGAAAAGATGTATAAAATAGGTTTATTATATATTAAAACCTTTATAAAAGTGATATCTTTTAAAGGAATTTAGAGAAGATTTATTAAGATTTTAATATAGTGGTTATTATAATTACATACATTTTTCAGTCTACTATGTATTTAGACTACTGTATGTACAGTAGTACTTGACTTGGTAATTACTTAATAAATATTTTGTTGAGTTTATAAGATTTAGAAAAGTGTATTAATTTGTTTGCAGTGATTCACAAACTTTGTGTTGAGAAATCTTCCAGGACTCTGAGTCATTCATTTGCAACATATTTACAGAATACAATAGTAAATAATTTGAACAGTTGGATGGCTGTATGTTTCTTCTTGAATTAAACATAATTGGTGTATTATTTAAATGAGTTAGATTAAATTGTTATATATTATGACACTTTTTTACTATCTTTAAATAAAATGTGGAAACAAAGGCATTGTGAATTCATAAATATGCAAAATAATAGAAATAACATAAATAGTTCATAGAGTTAAATCCAGAACTACAGGCATTAACACTCTGTTCTCTCCCTTTCTTCCTTCCTTTTCTCCTTCTCTTAAGTTACCCTAGAAAAAGAAGACTTTGTTACAACAACTCAGTTTTTGTGGTACTCCATGGACAGATAGCTGTTATACTTCATAAAAGCAGAAACTGAGTGTGGTTCTTTAATAAATTCTATTCTGGGGCCACGCATGATGGCACACGCCTGTAATCCCAACAACTCAGGATGGTGAGGCAGGAGGATTATAAATTTGAGGCCAGCCTGGGCAGAGACCATCTCAAAATAAATACTATTCTAAAGCTGATTTTTTTCCCCTCTGGACACTGCATATTTACTCCATTCTCTTTTATCTTCTAATCAACATCCTGATATTCTCTTTTTTCTATCATTTCTACTCCATCTTTATTTGCTTTTCCATAAAACTTGTGTGGCTGCCCACATCCCTTATATAGGATGGGAACTTTTAATAACTTTTTTGGGGATTCTGTGCCACCTGCTGATTAACTGAAGCTTTTTTATTTCCCCCTCTTTTAAAAAAATGAAGTCACACTGTTTTGCCCTGATTTATCTCAAACTCCTGGACTCAAATAGTCCTCCCACCTCAGTCTCCACAAAGTGCTGGGACTAAAGGTGCGCACCATTGCACCTGGTTTAGTTGAAGCTTTCTTTGGTTGCTGGGCAGCCTGTAATTGGATCCAGTGAAAATTCTTTGGTTCATTTAGCTGCTTTGGCCTAATTATTTATGCAAAATTAGTTAGAAATTAGTGTATGAGATGCAGTTGATAATTGCTATCTTGAATGCCCTATTAAAAATGTATTTACTGATGTTTCAAAGATTAATTTTTATAGAAAACAATGATTGACCTAAAGTCATTATTTAATCAAATTAAAATTTTCATCAGCTTTACTTTTCCCTTCTCCAATAATTCAGTCCTAAAACCATTGGTAGGGCAAAGAATGTGTCAGTGTGCATCTGTGTCAGGGGAATATTGAGGGGCCTGGAGAAGATATCAGAGCCAAAAAGGGACCTAGAGAAGATGTCAGAGCCAAAGAAGGGATCCACATGGGGAGGGGTGTCCACATGGATATGTGAGGGGCAACCTAATGTGAGCTGTTTGGTATGTAATGTCAGATACCAAGCAGAATAGATGGGCAGCCAGTCTAAGAATTAAATACAAGGGAGGGCAACCTAGTGTGGGGAGTCAGAGTACCAGGCTGAAGTAGATGTCCACTTGAAGGGATGGGCCATCCAGAAAATGGAGTCAGTCTGAGAGTGTCCACATGGGGGAGTAGGTGACTTTAGAGATGGATGGTGGTTACTTATGGGTAGAATAAACACTAAATACTTGGAATGTCTTTACTTCTTGTGTTTTAATTGTAATATGATTTTGTGTTGAAATCAGATAAATTGAAGTGAATCTAAGGCCTTGTGCATTCTAGAAACTCATGATGTTTAAATTGTACAAATATAGGGTGACTATAGGTAGTGATTACATATGTACAGTATATCTCACAAAGCTAGAAGAAAGAATTTTGAATGTTTTCACCATACAGAAGTGATAAATGTTTGAGGCAATAGATATATTTAACCTCATTATACAATGTGTATATGTATTGAAACATCACATGGTACACATTAATATGTATAATTTTTGTGTTTTTAATTGAAAAGACAACTTCAATTTTAAAAATCCATACAGATAGATTTACAAATAAATATAAATGCATGTGTCCCTTCATAATCACCCCCCTTTTTTTTTCTCAACCCTAAGTTGATTTAAATATAGGTAGGTAGATGTTAGGACATGGGTTGAAGGCTAATTTTTTCCTCCTTAAATTCTAGTAAAATGCAAAAAATAATTCTTTCTAAAGTATATGATAATAATTTGGAATAGAGCTAATAATCCTTTGCATTGGTATGTATCTTCTTTGAAAATGAAATAAAACAAACTTTGACAGATTGATTTTTTTCTTCTTTGCTTTGTAGTGTCTATAAATTCTTTGACTTACTAAAAGAAATTGATACCAGTACGAAAGTTGATAATGCTGTGTCAAGACTGTTGAAGAAGTATGATGTATTGTGTGCGCTCTACAGTAAGTTAGAAAGGTAATAAAGAATTTTATTAGGGTTATTGTACCCTGATTTTTTATGTCTTTGTTCATAATTACATTCTATCTGATAACGATAATATATTTAGTAAAGTTATTAATTATTACCCCTTAGACATGTCCCTTTTGCTCTTAATTTCTTATTCTTAGCTATCTTCTTTATCTAGTCATATGTATATTCTGAATGTTTCTTCCAAATTGTTTCATTATCCCTTTGTGTCTCATTTATTTTCTCAAGCTTTAAGCTTAGTTCCTATTTTAGCTTTATCTGCGAGGAGACCTAGTTCTGAATAGTGACCAAAATTTTAATGTCTTTCCAAGATATTCATTTAGAAAGGGGGGAAAATGGCCATGGAAGGTATATGTGACCTGTATGACCAAGTTATGATTTGTGCTCATGTTGGTGATCTAGAAGAGATTTCATCATTACTGTTCAACTTGGAGAATAAGAAATAAGCTTGAATTAAGTTTTGATAGTCTTTTAATCCAAACTGTAGTCTTCTAATCCAAGCACTGTAGCCCTTAATATGGCATATATCTGTTCCTTTGCTTGTATGAGAGCTCATTGAATTTGAGTGCCTGTAAAAATTAATGTTTTAGCTAAATAAGCAATTATATAATAGAATAGTTAGGGAGAAGGGAAGAAAGGAAAAGAGCTGTGTGTCCTTAAATATTCTGGGAGAATGAGTATGGAGACAAGGCTGGAAAGAAACGTCTTCTCAAAAGCATGCACCTTTTTTCCCCCTTTTTTCTTAATTTGTATGTCACTAAAACTTCAGAAATGAGATAAGGATGAGAAAAGTAGAGAGAAACTACAAATACAGAACAACTACAAAATGGTCTGGGTCTTGAGGGAATGTCTTTACTTCTTCTTGTGTTTTAATTGTAATATAATAGCAATTGACCATATCCCCCACCTTCTTGAAGTAGAAGCTTTCTGCTTAGGGAACTTTTTATTATTAAAGAAATGACTTAAGTAATTACGTAAGAAATGTGGATTGATTATAGAATACTTAGCACAGAAAAGTATTAGTAAAAAAATACTAATCAACTAAAATTTTAGTGTTAATAGATAATCACTTTTTATGCTTCTTAGGATATCATTTTATGTTATATTGATCATATTGATTTGTATATAGTTCCTTTATCATTTAATAGTGATTTATAATTTTCTTTCTGTCCTTTAAATTTTTTTATAACCACTTAGTTCATATCTGGGAGCTTATCATAAGAATATGATCCCAAATGTAAAAAGAAGCTGTAGAGATTTTTGTTACAATATTTTTTAGAATAATGAAAAAAATAGAAACAGTGTGTTTATTTACAACTGAAGTTAAACAAAAAACATTATAAGTATAATCTAGACATAAAACAGTACAATTAAGGATTGGGGATATAGCTCAGTAGTAGAGTGCTTGCCTAGTATGCATGAAGTTATAGATTCATTCCCCAGCATTATAAAAAGGAAAAAAAAGTATAATTATAAAATGAATTTTGATGAGGACCAACATGCTTCTAATGTTAATTAAATAAAGGAGAACATACTATGATTATGTATAAGGAAGTCAATGCATATGAAGTCATAGTCATGTTCTGTAACTGTGTATAAGGAAGAAACCCAGATCACTAATGCACAGAATGAGATGATTGGAAAGACGTTGACCAGAATTTTAATTGATGTTTTCCCTGGTAAGGAGGATGTATTACCTCTATAATGAAAAAGGAGGCAAGAACTTCTTGAAGCTAGTTGTTAAAAAAAAAATCTGTTCTATACAGATTAGTATTTTAAAAATCTATAATCATCAGTTTATTTCTAGACAGACAATTTTGGGGCTAGGGCTGGTTTAGGGCACAGTCCTTATTTTTTTTCCCAGCCATAATAATTAAAAAAAATTTAGTTGTAGATGGAAACAATACCTTTGTTTTATTTATTTATTTTTATGTGGTACTGAAGACTGAACCCAGTGCCTCACTTGTGCCAGGCAAAGCGCACTGCTACTGAGCTACAATTCCAGTGCTAGCCATAATAATTTTAATTGGCTACTTCTAGATTGTTTTACTTTGTTGTCTGAGATTAGGAATCTTCTTTGATGTTAGTTTCTGTTTTACTTTTTTTCAACCCCTTCTGCTGATAAATTTGTATTTGATTCTCCTGGAGACTTAGGGAGAGTTAAAATGGAATAACCTAATAGATATTGCACACTTTACAGTTTACTTTGTTTAGGGGTTTGACATCTTTTCTATAAATGGGAAGCAATGATCAATAAGTAAATCAAGTAAGCTGGCATTTTTCTTCTTATATTCAGATTTATATTAAGATTCTATTAAAAATATATATTTATTTCATGTCTATATTTTGAGGGGTTTAAGTAGTTAGTATGAAAGGATGGGGATATGATGTCCTCCCCAAAAAGGGAAACTGTAGTTGGGCTTTTTGGAGAAGAGAATGGACTCTTTTGAGTCAGTCAGATTTGAATTCCAATTTAGGCTCCAACTTGTCATGTATGATCTTGGATCCAAGTTTAGTCTTTAGTTTTCTAATTATATATTAAGCTGATGATAGTGATTATCTGTTCTAATACATATAGTGAGATAATGCATAGACCTGGGTTTGATCCTCAGCACCACAAATAAATAAATAAATAAACAAACAAACAAATAAATAAATAAAGGTATTGTGTCCAACTGCAACTAAAAAATAAATATTTTTTAAAAAATTTTATGCCCATTAAAGAAACACTGCATATTCTATCCCTTCCTTATACAGTTACAATGTACATCAACCACCCGAGATAAAGTTACTGAATTCATCATTTCCTGAACTTACAGGCTACTTGTATGTATTTATGGTACTAGAAATGGGAACTTTTGACCCACCAACAGTAGAAAGAAAATTAGGCAGAGAGTGCAAATATACAAGCAAGACTGTTTGGGGAGTTTTATCTAAGGACAGGGGGAGACTGTATTGAAGGGACAGAAAAATCAAAAGAAGAAAAGGCCAGCTTTTTATCAAGTAGCTGAGATGGGAAAGATCCTTGGAGGTTTCTAGGTGCCATCCTACATTTGGTCTCTGATTTATTATTAAGAATAGGAGAGAAAGAAAAGTCAAATTCCATACATTATAAGAGTTGAAGAGTAGGAAAAGACTTCTAATAAAAGGTTTTTACCCTCAGATCTTATCTGTTTTTTTGTCCCTATAATGGTCCCTGTCTGTCTCATTCTCCCCTGATAGATTTTATTCTTCTTCCTAAGGGGAAAAGGACAAAATCTTCTCAGTCTTCTTATAGCTACTTTAGACCTATACATGGGTGTTGATCCTATATATCCCTGGAGATTATAAAATCTCTCCCTGCCTGAACAAAAGGGGACAAATTGGAGGTGCAAACTTAGTCTGGGATGAGTTGAAAACTAAGAGGAAATGTCAGCGTAACTTGGAAACAAGTAAAGCCTGGAAGACACAAATTTTATAAGCATATTAAAAAGACAAGGCCCTAAAATCAGAAATAGGGTAATGGGGACTAATGGTCCTAAAAATGGTAGAAGCTAAATAAGATTAGGAAGTATTTGTTATTTGTCTTCCATAATCCTTTCTTATAAGGATTTCCTTTTATATATAAGGAAATCAGATTTCCTTTTATATCTCCCTAATGTTAAGCTCTGCTTGTCCTGAAATGTTATCCGAATCCAACAGGTAGAGTTTAAGAATGCACAAATCCTTTCCCCTTCTGCCAATAAGAAATCTAATGCTCTTCTATTTTTTTTTATTTTTTATTTTTTTTTTTTTAGAGAGAGAGAGAGAGAGAGAGAATTTTTGATATTTATTTTTTAGTTCTCGGCGGACACAACATCTTTGTTGGTATGTGGTGCTGAGGATCGAACCCGGGCCGCACGCATGCCAGGCGAGCGCGCTACCGATTGAGCCACATCCCCAGCCCTAATGCTCTTCTATTTTTGATCAAAGTAACGGCCAAGGAATTTAGTAAGAACTGTAGGCCATTGAGTGTATCTGCCCTATCTTTTTAAATTTTTTTCCCCATCTCTGTCTTTATTTTAAAGACAGAGTTTAGCATTAGTTAAGCTTTTAGTGTTACTTTATGGTAAATAAGCTGTCTCAGGGAGCAAGCAATGTCACTACCTCTATAACCCCTGCAAGAATCTAGGTGTATAGCATGCTTAAATGGGTGTACTGGAGTCCTGGGTTTGTTTTAGCTTGTTATTTGTGTAGATATTCCCAAATCAGTTTAGAGGACTCATTAACTATGCTGCTATTGTTCTCAAGCCATTGACCATTTTTGGGTCATAGCATGTGACTATTTGTAGAAATATGCTACTGGTCTTGGGATGGGTCCCAACTTTGGGGTTAAGATCCCTGAAGTCAAATCTAGGCTTTTTCGTTTGACTTTTATCCCTGTAATAACACACTTGCTTTTTATTATACTTGCACTACTGGGTATTCAAGACAAAATAGCCCTTACATTTGCCCCAAATCAGCCTTTTTTCCTTCTTACTGTTAAGGTCAATTGAAGCTCCTCAGGGATTATTTTAGGGTTTCTTGACTCCTTTTGTTTTTTCCTCTACCAGTTGTACCATCTGCCTGAATGGGTGAGGGTCTTACTGGCCATGTGGCTTCTCTTGGAAATATTAGGAACATTTCTCTCTCTAATTACCCTCCTCTTTACAGACTGTACATTGGTTGGCTCCTGGTCTCCAAGGTTTTTGAGATCACCCTGAGAGGGAGTTTGGGTGATTCACCAGTGTTCCAGGGACATTTAGAGGAATTTTGTTGTCCCGTGGGTCCTGGCTGACCTTGGAGGGCCAAAATATTGACTGCCCTCTTAGTCTTGTTATTCTCTTGATTTTCACTTCAAAGTCTCAGTTTGTTGAATACCCAAAAGGCCAGTTACTTTTATCCCATTACAAAATATTAAATGATATAAATAAATCCCCATCCAAATTTGTCTTTTAGAATAAGTGAAATGTTTAAAAAATGAAGTAGAATATACTTGTTCACAGATGTACTGCCTGAGTGAACAGTGTCCAATCTCATAATTATCAGAGTGATGCTGCTTGGAGTGCACAGTGTTTGGGCACATTTAATTATCTTTGTTTAAAGATGATAGTTATAATACAGTTAGGAGCATACAAACATAATCTTGAAGAATGCTATCTCTAAACATTTTAGTTTGGAGGACACCAGCTTGGTAAAGTACTCTCCTAAACTTTGCATTTTAGAAGGCTTGTATACTTGAGAAAGTACTTTTAACATACAAAGTAGACAGTAATAAGTATCTCAGCTATACTGAAGTCCTTTTATTTATATTAATTTAGCTTTTACTTTTGAAGTGAAATTTAGAATTCATAGCTCAGTAGGGATAGCTATAATTATAAGGCTTTGCCTTTAGCAGATCTACATAGGTTAAGAACATTGACAAAGATTGAATAGCTTTATACTTCTTATAAGTTTAGGAAACAGTACTTAATAACCACAAATAGACTTATTACCTGATGTGACTGCTCGTGTATACTATAACAAAACACTTTTTCAATCAGAGCATACAGATGCAGAAATATCAAAAGTTTCATTGGCCATTTTATAGGTTGAAGGCCCAGATACTCTGCATATTGTATAAAAAAGAGCACTGATCAGTTACCTTGCATATATTAAACCTTTACAGCTTTAACTGTATAAACTTTACATAACATTTAGACTAAGCTCAAATACACGACATATTTAGCCCTCAGTTTTATACATATCTCTAGACACACAGGGTGTCAAATATATTCTAATAATTGCTCATTTAACCAGAGCTATAAAGTGATTATCTAAAAGATTTTAAAGCAGATACTTAAATAAGCCTTAATTCTCTCAAGACTTAGTTTCCTTAAGTAATTAAAACCTAAAGTCAGCAGAAAACACATGAGATTATCTTGATAAAGTACAAAAATCTCTGCTCTTTAAGCCAGCTATCTGAAAATAATACCCAAAGCAGATCAATACCTCAAGAAAACCCTGTTGCTTCTAATGTACAGAAATAGACTCTGACCTCACATCAGTGCACCAAATTCTGATCCTAGAAAATCCTTTGAATAACTATCAAGTTATAGTCAATTCAATCGCATATAAGCCTCCCTCCATAACACCTGCCATTTCAGAAACTCTCTGTAATCTACCTAGACCCTGTACAACTTGTTTGCAACTTTAGTTTCTGTCCTATCTTTTTCCTATCTTGGAACTATCTAGTCATTTGATTTTAGGACAAAATTTTCGCTTTAGCATACAAAATCCTTTTTCATCTGAAAGCATTCCCTTTTCCTTTTAACCTTCCTTACCAAAATACATCTTCATACCTATAACTTTCTTATATTTCTTTTTATTCACTGGTTTCCTTCTGCCTTACATTTTAAAGTTTATATTTTAAAGCAATTTTATGAAACTTCTGAATTTAGACAAATTGCTCCTTAATATGACAACATGCTTTATGCTTTCTGTAGTTTTAAAATCAAAACACAACTTAAAAGCTTTGCATATAGAATTACCTATGTTAATTAGAATTTTAACTCTTAGTAATCTTATGTTTTAATGCATCAGGCCCAAGAAGAAAGCAATTTTGAACTGTTTCCTATATCAACTGTTTATGGAAACACGTTTAATAATCCCAAATATAATCCTATTGGCTTTGCAGCTCTCAAGCTAGGCAAAAGTGTATGTTAGCAATTTCAAAGACATTTTTACTTTTATCTTGCCAACAAATTATATAGTGGGCAAAGTATTAAATTGTCATCGAGAAGGTTAACTGTAGGGCTGATTTTGGTAGGGGGTAAAAAACATTAAAGAAGACATTGTTAAATTGTTTAAACGATAAATAGAAATTTGCCAAGCAAAATGGGATTGGGGAATGGTACTGAGTCTTGCTAGGCAGAGTTAGCAGKTGCACAAAGCCCAAGTAGAAGCAGGAGGTACTTTGATATTGCTAAAGGCTGAAAGTTAGGAAGGGATCACGACATTGGTAGTGAGTTTGGACTTTGCCCTGAAGGCAATGGAAAATCATTTAGTGATTTAAAACTGGAGAGTGGGTAGTCATATTTGGTCTTAAAAGACCATTCAGGCCTTTGTAGAAGGGATTTAGAATTTTTAAAAAATATCTTTATTTTATTTTTATGAGGTGTTGAGGATCAAACCCAGTGCCTTGCGCATGCCAGGCAGGCACGCTACCATTTGAGCCACATCCCCAGCCTGGGATTTAGAATTTTTGTTGTATTTTCATATGAGATAATTTAGCCTTAACTTTACTGGCCTTGGTTCAGCAGGGACTTTTTTTTTCTGTCTTATTAGTACCTTTTTCTGAAGAGTTATTGGGGAGATTAACTATAATACCAAAGCCTGTTTATTACAAGGTAGACTGTATGACTATATGTGACTATTAGCTAAATAGTCATTAGTTATGACCTGATCTGGATTCTAAGCAGATCATCAATTATAAAATATATTTTGAGTTAAAAAGAGCATTTGGATCCAGTCCTTTTCTAATTAGATATTACAGTGATATGATATGTCACAAATTGGGAAAACCTACTTAGTTTCATTATGCTATATGTGTTTTTGTTTTCAAAATGTGTATTTCTTAAAGTAAGATGAATAAAGTATGATAACATTGCTATGATTTCTATATTATGAAAATATTTTTAAAATAACTTTTAAAAAAACACCACAATGTTAATAAAATTATTTCTTCCTTTTAGGACATGTGAACGTATCTATTTGACACAACCCAGCAGTTCGTAAGTAGTTTAGAGCATATTACATTTTGTCTTTTTTAAAAAAGGGTTTTCTGGAATAGTCGCAGACATTGATAACATTAAGGTTAGTTTGGTTGATGATAGTTTCATCAGGGAAGAGATGTCTCTGAAAAAGGTCCAAGGAGTTTCCAGAGAGAAGGGGGATCTTGACTCAGGACCAGTGGGGTTTGTAGAATACATGAATGAAGACAATGTCAGCTTGTGTCAGTCAAAGGCACACACAGAGGTTTATTTAGGAAAATGTTCAGAGGTTTATTTAGGTATATATTCAAGGGAGAATGAGGGCAATCTCAAGAGAGATGCCTTTGGTTTAAGGAGTATGCATTCAAGGTAGAATTCAGGCTATCTGTAGAGGGAGAGATACCAATCCCTTGGGATAGACATTGATATTTATAGAGGGGTAGACATTAATATTTATAGAGGAATGGTTGCTGGGGGATGGACTAGATGTAGAACTAGGGTGGAGTTACATAGTTTCAGGCCAGTTTTCTCTGTACTTGGGCATTGCTCTCATGTTACAAGGGCATGGGTCAGGGGCATCTAGCCAAGAGTGTGTTGCTCAGGAATTGTAGTTGTCATGTCAGTGGTTTATGGGCACTTCCTCTGAGACTCAGAATCTCTTCCTTTATCCCCAAAGGCTACTTTATAAGTTAAGGTCATAAAGTCCTATATAGGTGATTTATCCTGTAAATAAATACATGCCTCATGCTACAAAGGAGAACTAATAATGTGGAAATTGATTTAGTGCAACATTCGCTAACTCTGAGGAAAAAATTCATTTCTTAGTTAAAATCCTTATTGATGGTYTCTCACAGATACTTTATTGACAAGACAGCATAATTTTGTGTATGAATAAATTTAAAGATTTATCTTAAAATTTCCAAATTATTTTTTAAAATTGTATAATGCATTCTCTAACAGTATACCCATGTAGAGCTCCAGAGATTTTCTTTGGAAGCAGAATGAGTAGGATAGGAGATATTCTGCTCCACTGAAGTTCAGTATTGAAGATGACTGATATAAAGGGAAATTGTATAGATAGGTTGCTGAAGAATGAATCCAGTGCCTCACACATGCCAGGCAAGCCCGCTACCACTGAGCCACAACCCCAGCCATCCTTTATATATTTTTAAATAACAATTCAGATATTCAGTATTTCCTTTACAAAGTGTATGCTGTTCTATGGGCTAAATATAATATCTTGGTAGAAACACCAATTGAATTGAGATAGAGTCCGGTATCAATTGAGCATTAAAAATAGACTATGCACTTAACTCAGTCCTGTAATTTAAAGCAAAACAAAACAGATCACTCCAAAGCCATAGTTGAAAACCTTTGTCAGTATTAATTTTTTTTTCTTCTTTCTATTTATTTACTAGGGTATCTACTGAAGTAAGTTCTGTGTTGGTGCTGAAAGTTTCTTGGATCACATTTTTACTAGCTAAAGGTAAATTCACTATGTTTATTATATGCTGATGTTTTAAATGCAGTAATGAAATTGGTGTTCTTTTGGATTAAGTGCAAAAATCTACTTCCTACTCTATTTTTTGAGTATTATGGATTATTAACTGCTACAACTTCTTAGTAATAATAATAACAGAAACAACTTTGGACTTTTTTTTGACCTACCTTTCTTCCTTCCTTCCTTCCTTTTTTTTTTTTTCCTCCTGTGCCAGGGATTGAACCTAGAACTCTGATGCATGGTAGACAAGCACTCTTTGATTTTCTAGGGTAAAGGCTTACTATCTTATAAAAATGATATTTGCTTATGATAAATAAGTTAAGCAGTACAGTAAGGTGCAAAGAAAAATTATGCAAAGTATACTCAAGAATAACCATCATTAAAATTGTGTAATTATTATTTCAGGTATATCTTTGTATATGATTTTGTTTAAAAAATGAGTAGGTGAGTGCATCCATAAACATAGTTTTTTAAAATGGGATTATACTATAGTGTAATCTTTAAAATATAAAATCTAATTTTACTCAAATTATACAGAAGAAAAGATGTTGCTTAAATTAACCAAACTGTTTTGTCACTTTAAGTAGATTGTTTCTTAAAATATTTCTCTGAAGATTATGAAAAAGAGTTATAAAAAAATTGGAATTTTTATTGGAATTTTTATTTTCTTTACCTTCATATTTTGGTTTGAAGCAATATAAATGCACTTTGAAGAACAAAGTCCTGTCACCTTCCATCTCCCCACTTCAAGATTAGTTAATTTTATTATTATTTCATCATCAAAGATTATAACATTTGTATTCTATCTGTAATTATAATTGTTACACTTGGTTTGTCTTAGTTCTGTATCCTAAGTTTACCATAATTTCTTTATTACAGCTTTTTCATTTCTGTTCTTTATTCTGATTCATTTCTTAGCTGGTTAGATTTTACCATAGAGGATTTTTTTTTTTCAGTAGGCCTTTTGGTTTTGTTTCTTTCCAGTCCTGTTTTTTGGCATTAAACATTGTTGTTAAATATGAGATTAGCTTAATTTCCCCTCTTCATTAGTTCCTGAATACTTGAAGAATTCTGTTTTTTTTTTTTTTCTTTTTTACTCTCTCTCTTTTTTAAACTGAAGGGTTAGTAGTTTTTACCAGGATGTCTCTTGATTTTTTTTTTTTTAAGAGAGAGTGAGACAGGAGAGAGAGAGAGAGAGAGAATTTTTAATATTTATTTTTTAGTTCTCGGCGGACACAACATCTTTGTTGGTATGTGGTGCTGAGGATCGAACCCGGGCCGCACGCATGCCAGACGAGCGCGCTACCGCTGAGCCACTTCTCCAGCCCGTCTCTTGATTTTTATTATTCTACCTTAATTTTTCTCAGAACACGATGTTTCTTTTTAAATTGGAGGGTCTGCTCTCTTCAGAGAAATCTTACTAACCTGTATTTTAAAATATTATTCTATTCAATTAAGTTATTCTCTTTTGTTTCAGATACATTAACTGTCTTACATTGGATTGTTTTTGTCTTCCTTTTTTACTATCTTCTCCTATTTTATTCTGATCTTTTGTCTTTTTCTTGTGTGTTGACTGTTTTTATCTCAAGTCCTTCTGTTTTCATCTAAACTGTTTCTTAACTGTCCAGTCCCTTATTTTTATAATATGAATTCATTAAGTTCTTAGTGCAAGAACTCATATAGGTCATTTTCCTCTTTTAGATTCTCTTCCACATTGGATTCTCTGATTTTTTTTCTCTTCTTATGTTATGATTCTATTTTTTTCTTTTCTAGAATATGTTTGTATAATGTCTGTGTTTTTCTTCCTTATCTTGCTGGGCCTTTATGTGGCTAACTCTGACTTCTTATTTTCTCTGATGCAGTATGAGTGAATTTCCCTTCAGTCACCTTGCATTTTATCTGTGATGTGTTTGTATTCCTCAGAGAATTATAGTATGTCAGCAGGTATTTTTATTATACCAAGCTTTATTCAGAAGGTAAGGGAGAAAGTAGAGATGTTTTTTGTTTGTTTGTTTTGTGGTTTTTTTTTTTGAGTTTTTGTTAGAATGTCTATAATTCCTTCTTCTAAAACAGGATTGTGTTGGGATTCAGATTGTTCCCAATTGAGTGCAGTATATAAGAATCTTTATCAACTGATTATAGTTGTTTCTTCCRTTTTACCATTCTTTTAACAATATTTAGTACTTTCAAGTCAGAAGGAGAAAAAGATGAGGATTCCCTCTTAGTTACCTTCAGATTTTATGTTGCTACTTGCATTTAACCAGTACATTTTTTACCTTTTCATTTTTATTAGATTTTTGAGAAGAGAGATTCTTTCATCTGACATTCTACTATTTTTACCTAGAAGTGCTTGATATCATTCTTCACCTCTGTGGTATTTCTAAATAATGTCTTAGTATATTATGAACCTTTTCCGCCATACCTATGGATCTAAAAAACTTACTTGATTCAGCATTACCAATTTTCTCACATATTTTCTGTTCCATCAGTATTTGTTGGGATTACTCCTAGTTTAGCAGATACCCAGAAGAAAAGTTTTAAAATATTAGAACCATAGGCAAGAAGGCAATATTGTATTTAGCCACACTGTTTTTCTCAGGCATCTATTACATGTAGTTATTTCCTCATATACTTCTACTGTATATGTAGTATATGAAATTTTAGGATTTTGTGCTGGATAATTACTTATAGATGACCTTACAATTATATATTAATTTTGTTATTTCATAATAGCTTTGGTAATATTTTGGAAAGTGTTAGAATTGAAAATGTATGAGGTTTGATAAATCATTAGATTAAAAGTTAGCATATACCGTACTTCAAAATTATTTTCAGAAGTAATAAATTCCATAGCTTGTAATAATAAGTTTTAGAAAAGCAAAATGCAAAATGATTTTAAACATAAGAAATTAATTTTAGTAATAATACTTAAGTGTAAAATTCTCAGGGTAGATAATACTAATTCATAATTTCATAATTATATATATTTGTCTATTAGACTTGACTGATTTTTAAAAAAAATTTTTTTAGTTATACATGGACACACAATATCTTTATTTCGTTTATTTATTTTATGTGAGACTGAGGATTGAATCCAGTGCCTCATGTGTGAGGCAAGCACTCTGCCACTGAGCCACAACCCCAGCCCTTGATGATTTTTTTTTTTGAAAATAAGAAAGGAAAAAGGTTTTGATCATGAATCTAGTGATTATAGAATGAATAAATATATGAATATACCCATACCCACAATTTCTCTGGCTTAGGCTTATAAAATGAATAAATATGTGAATATACCCATATCAATCTCTAACATTTCTTAAAAATGTGAATTTTTTTTTATTTTCAGGAGAAGTATTACAAATGGAAGATGATCTGGTGATCTCATTTCAGTTAATGTTATGTGTGCTTGACTATTTTATCAAACTCTCACCTCCTGCACTGCTCAAAGAACCATATAGTAAGTATCTTTAAGTAATTTAAGCTCCTCCTTTGTCTTTAGCAGTTGTTTATTGGATGTCTGGTAGCTCTAGTATGGTTCTAAATTGAGAGGGTGATAAAAAATAAATCAGAAATAGGCTCTGTTCTTGTGTTAGTCACCTTTCTATTACTGTAACAAATATCCAAGATAATCAACTTAAGAGCAAAGAAAGGTTTATTTTAGCTCACAGTTTTGGAAGTTCTAGTCCATGAACAACTGGCCCTGTTGCTTTGGGCTTGTGGAGAGGTTGCACATCATGGCAGAAACTCATGATGGAGCAAAATTGTTCACTTTATGATGAGAGAGTGAAAGAGAGTTAAGGGGCTGGGAGTCTACTTTTCTCTTCAAAAGTGTGCCCCATACCTCTGACTATTCTCTACCTATTGAGTCCTGTTGAGTTTTCCACAGTCTAGTTTTTGCTGATCATTAAGTTAACAAAATTTTTATCATCTCCCAATAGCACCAAGCTGGTGCCAGGTCTTTGACAACCTGGGTCTTTGGAGGACATTCCATATCCAAACTATAAGCAGCCCTCAGGTAGCATAAATTATAAGAGGAAAGGTAAGAGATGTTAAGCACCCAATCAGAGAATCTGGTAGAAATAATCTGAGTAAAAATAAAGGAAATGCTATGTTGGTTCAGGAGATAATAAAAGTTTTCTTCTGAAAAGCCCCAAAAATAAAGAAGAGGTGATATTTGAAATGAGTGTTGAAGAATAAGTAGTTAAGATTAGGTTGAAGAAGTTAGAGAAGGGTATTCTCAGTAAAGAAGAGAAGAGGCTCTTACCTGTAGGATTTCAGAATCTTTTATTATACTATAGAAAAATGTAAACTTAACAAGGTGTGGTCTGAGTCCTTGCTCCTGAAATGATGAAAGTGTTAATCCTAAAAGTAATAGATGACAGATCAAAACGTTGAAGTCTCAAAGTGGCTGAAAGACTGAGCTGTAATTAATCTTTGTGAACAATAACTTCATGGAAAAATGAAGTGTGAAGTAGAATTTTCAATGTTTTGAACATGATTTGGCAGAGAAGACAGGAAACTTCACTTAGCAGAATTGAAATGCAAATCAAAAGGAGAAAAGCTCAAAAATTATATATAGAAAAAAATAAATATGCTTCAAATTTCCCCCAACTTTTTAAACTTTCCATTAGCTGCCTTCACTTATTTTTCAATGTTATAACTTTAAAGTTGATGTCATGTGTTACTTTAGGTTTACATCTTTGTTTTTTGGGATAATTCAAAACTACATTTAATTCTTTTAAGTGCTGTGTTAAATAGAATCAAGGATAAGTTATTGAATTGACTGAGTATGGTAAAATTTTAATTTGCTTTGTTATGGAGAATTTCAAATGAATACAAAAGTAGACAGTAGTTTAAGTCTTCATATACTTTTCACTTAATAGCTTCAACAGTTGCTGTGACCAATCTATTGTCTCTTCCCCTGCCTAGTTCCCCCAGCTTTGTTTTGAAGCATATCTTTGAATACCTTATTATTTCAGTGTGAATCTTTTAAAAGGTAAGTGGTTTTTAAAATGCATAATGACAGTACTATTATCACATCTAATAATGATTTTTTTTAATATCACCAAGTATCTGGTAAATATACCTTTTTTATTTCATAACTGTAATTTAAACTTTTTTAACTTTTTTTTTTTTAGTTGTAGATTGACATAATACCTTTATTTTATTTGTTTATTTTTATGTGGTGCTGGGGATCGAACTCAGTGCCTCATGCATGCTAGGCAAGCGTCTGCCCACTGAGCCACAACTCCAGCCCCTAGTATAAACTTTTTTGTAGGTTGACTGAATCAGAGTTTAAATAAGATCTACACTTTGTGATCAGTTGATACTCTTTTCAGAATTTCTTCTTCCAGGCTTTTTTAGTGGTAGAGAACATGAAGGACTGATTTCAGTCCACTGCAACAAAAGAAAAACAAATGAAAAGAAATAAAGTTGTTCCTCCTCTATGTTTCTCTTCTTATTTTTTCCTCATAATTTATTTATTCAACCAGAGTGATAGAATGTGTGCTTAGCAGTCACAAAGCCTTGCATTGAGTCCCCAGAACTGACATAAATAAACAAATAAGCAAATAAATAATCAATCAATCATGCTGGAATCTTGCTGAGTTTCCCAGTTGAGTTTTAGTCTAGTTTTTGCTGATAATATCCTATGGTATATGTTCTTCTGTCTTCTCAGTTTCTTGTAAGTTGATGTCTAGAAGCAATAAGTACTTTTTATACTTAATCTTCTAAAATCTTTTTAGAAGCTGAACCTATATTCGTTTTGAATCAGTAGTATGCAAAATAATCTGGGGAGTTTTTTTTAAAAAATCACAGTTTATTATCAGGAAATTATATTTATAAAATCTGTTTTTAAAAGATCATAATTTACTAAAGCTTTTAAATTTTTTTTTTGTATTAGAAATTGAATCTGTAAATATTTGCTCATTATTTTTAGGGCTCTAAGATAGAAAACATTTTTTCCTTTTGCATACTGGGTAGGATACACTTAGAATTAGTTTAGAAATTGGTTGTTTCTCTGGTCTTCTCTGTTTATGGGACCACAGATGTTTTCTAGTTCTTTTTGTGCTATTCGGGGCAAAAACTCCTGTCAGTATTATAACTTGAAATAGGTATCTAATAAATAAGATGAAATTGTTATTCTTAGGGCTGGGATTGTGGCTCAGCGGTAGAACGCTCGCTTAGCACGGGCAGGACCTGGATTCGATTATCAGCATCACATAAAAATATAAAAGGCATTGTGTTGTGTCAATCTACAAAAAAAAAAAAAAAGATTTTCTCTTTCTCTCTCTCTTTCCTTTCAAAAAAAAAAAGAAATTGTTATTCTTATAATGAAGGCTAATAAGTAAAAATAGAATGTTAACAAGATTATTTCTGACTTTCCTAGTTATAATTAGAATACTTCATAATTTTATTCAATGGAATGTGTAATTGTTCTTATCTAATTTATCATTTTTACAGAAACAGCTATAATACCCATTAATGGTTCACCTCGAACACCTAGACGAGGTCAGAACAGGAGTGCACGGATAGCAAAACAACTAGAAAACGATACAAGAATTATTGAAGTTCTCTGTAAAGAACATGAATGTAATATAGATGAGGTAATTTCACTATATGCTTTCTTTGAACAGTTAAAGTAGATTTAGATAAAGTTCTTTCTAATAGCATATACTTCTTTTGTGGTGAGTATGCTTCTTTTGACTAGTGTCARCTCTTTTCCAGTAGCAACATATTTCAGAAAAAAATTATTTTTCATATTCAGTTACTTTGCTTTTAAAGAGATTGGCTCCTCTACTCTATAATCACAGAAATCTATATCATAAAGATAATAGTTTTCAAATGTATTTCTTCTTTGATTCCACTGATATTATCAGTACCCCTAATGTTTTAAAATGCCCTGCCAAGAAGACCTTGATGTTTTGGTTTAATGATAAATGATACTAACATTAAATTTCTCCTCAGCCTTATGTAACTAGTCACTTTCTAAACAAAGCTGACTATTAATGGTTAGTATAGAATACATATTCATCCAGGAATGACTTCCAGAGACTGATAGGTAACTCATTATTAATAGAATCTACATTAGAGTTTGGGGCATCTGGTACCAGGGCTAACTTTTACTCTACCAGCTTGTTTTTCTCTGTTATATTGTCCACAGTTCAACACTACTAGATAGTAGTATGAAATGTTGCATTTTAAAGATTTCTCTGGCAATGCTGGGAAGGAATGGTATTATGCTTCCAAAAATCTAGTTTAAGAAAGATTAGAATGATTTGTCAATATATCTGAGTTTTAGCATTGTAGTTCTTATTAACTTCAACAAATAGATATGTGTGTATAGACATATCAACTTTGTAAAAAAATATATGTATATATACTTTTCTAGAATCACAATTTATCTTTGCAAATAAGCTAATGAGTATAGTTTGAAATATTTCTTTTTACTCTATTTTTGTTGCTTATTTACAAGATAATGAATGGTAGTAAATATAGTTTTCTCATTCCACATTGTTAATTCTCTGGATTTCATAACTACTTGTAAAATTTCACTTTTCTTTTCTTTTCTTTTTTTTTTTTTTTTTGTGGTACTGGGGATTGAACTCAGGAACACTTGATCACCAAACCACATCCCCAACCCTTTTTGAATTTTATTTAGAGACAGGGTCTCACTGAGTTGCTTAGTGTCTCACTTTTGCTGAAGCTGGCTTTGAGCTTGTGATTCTCCTGTCTCAGCCTTCTGAGATGCTGGGATTACAGGTGTGCGCCACTGCATCCGGCTAAAATTTCATTTTTAAGATTAAATCATTTTTTTTAACTTATCAGTGTAAAGTACTTTTTCCTAGAATTTAAAATGTTTATAGTTATGATGAAAATATAGTTAACTAAAAGCTTTGGGGGGTTTTAATTAACTGATACTGGATTATCTAAAAGTGATTATTTAAATATAGCATTTATGGCTATAACTATTGGTCATTCATACTAATTGGATAATTATTATATTGTAAATTTTCTAGATAAGTGGACTTTTTTAGAAAACAAAGATAATAAATATTTCAGAGACTTAATTCTTAAATCTTATTTGTGAAGTATAAGGTAGGAATTGATATTAAATTATTGTTTCCTTAGTAAATATAGATTCCAAGTTTGGAAAAGGAAGTTAAATAAAGGAAAGCAAGTAATTTTAAATTACATAACATATTACAGGTTTAGAATATAGCTTCATGTTTTCTGAGTGCAGTTCTTTAAAATCCATGTTACCTGTGGGATGCTTTTCCATGAAAATGCATATTTCCAAAAAACATTTTTATTTGGTTTTGAAATGAATTATTGTGTGTAAAATTAATTATTTTCTTAAATTTATACTTAAAAATTGCCTTGCTATTTTCTTAGCAGACATCAAATGATCCTAGTGTGAAATGATCCAAAATATACTTTGGGGAAAAATGAGAAACAGTATAAAGAAATGAAGAATGGTGCCTTTGATGATAGATTAGATTTTAATCCTGGCTCTGCCACTTTATAATTGTGCAGCTTTGGTCAAGTTGTTTAATTTGTTTGAGTGCCTGTCTTTTTTGTTGTTTGTTAAATGTGAAATATTGAAATTCTTTTTAATGCCTTCTTTTCTAGTAGTTCCTATTACAATAACAATTTTCTACTTATCTCCATTTTAGGACCTAGAATCTGATTTATGTACATTAAAAAGTAAATAAATGAATTAATTATAAATAAATATCACTATCTTGAATGTGTGTCATTGATTAAATGTGAGTAAATACTCTCATTCTAGTGTTAATAGTGACAAATTGAATTTCATTTGTTTTATATTTTAATGTCATATAATGTCTTTTTCAGGTGAAAAATGTTTATTTCAAAAATTTTATACCCTTTATGAATTCTCTTGGAATTGTAGCTTCTAATGGACTTCCAGAGGTAATCTGAAAGAAAATTTAATAGAAAATTAGTATGTTTTGAGACTTTGGGGAGGGAAGATAGTTGTCTAAGTTTCTTAGGATCAATTCAGATAGTTTTTTGCCTAAAGAAAGTACTCTAAGTAGAATTGTGTAATCAAGTTTTGTGTGGTGATAGAAAAATACTTTTGAAGACCTATTTTAATATATAAGTAAGCATCATTTCATGTTTTGTACTAGAAATTTATTTATACTGAAATTATTATTTGAAAATCAGAGTCTAAATTTTTAAATTTCTAAATGCCATTAAATATCTAAATACAACTAAATATGCACAGATTTAATTCTGATTTGCTTTGCTGGACATTCTAAAGCATAGGATCCAGAACTCAAGCAACATTATTGGCATTACTGTAATGTAGAACATCTGCTTTGAATATCTTTAAAAGCTACTTGATTGAAAATAAATATGGTTGAAATGACTTTGATTGTATTGCAGAAATATTTTACCTTACTAGTGAACCATCCATTTGTGTTTCTTTTTACATTTTGTCATAAGTATCTTCTCACTGAGATAGAACAACTGAGAACTTTGCATGTTAAAGTGAACTGTGGTGATGAGAACTATGTGAGGAAAAGGCTGCCTGGTTTTTTGAACTCAGGGGCACTCAACCACTGAGCCACATTCCCAGCCCTATGTTTTTTTTAGAGACAGGGTCTCACTGAGTTGCTTAGCGCCTTGTTTTTGCTGAGACTGGCTTTGAACTCATGATCCTCCTGCCTCAGCCTCCTGAGCCCCTGGGATTACTTACATATGCCACTGTGCCTGGCTGATAAATGATAAATAGGTACTCAGGGATAAAGCAGTGTTTTATTTTCTTTCCTCTTTCTACCTTTTTTAAATTGGTGCATTATAGCTAGTTTTTCATAATGATGGGAATTATTGTTACATATTTATACATACATATAATATTAACAATATAATTTGGCCAGTATAACTCCCAAGCACTTCCCCCCTCCCTCTGCTCCTCCCACTCACTGGTCTCTTTCCCTTACTGATCTCCCTTTGATTTTTCTGAGATCCATCTCCTACCCCACCTTTCTTTTCTTCTTCCTCTTTAACTTCCACAAATTGGAGAAAACATTATGACCCTTGACCATCAGAGTTTGACTTATTTTGCCTAACATAATGGTCTCAAGTTCCATTCATTTTCCTGAAAATGACAGAATTTCATTTTTATTTGTGGCTGAACAAAATTCCATTGTATATATCACATACATAAAATGCCATTGTATATATCACATTTTTTATCCATTTATTCATTGATGGACACCAGTTGGTTTTGTAGTTTGGCTTTTGTGAGTTGTGCTGCTATGAACATGAGTATGTGTGTATTACTGTAGTATGATGACTTTAATTCTTTAGGGTAAATACCAAGAAGTGAAATAACTGGGTCATGCCTAGTCTTTTGAGGATCCTCCATGCTGATTTTCATAGTATGGAAATTCCACCAACAGTGTAATAAAAGTGGTCCTTTTTCTCTACATCCTCTCCAGTATTTATTATTGTTTGTATTCTTGATCACTACCACTCTGGTGTGAGATGAAATCTCAGTGTTGTTTTGATTTGCTTTTCCTTAATTGATAATGATGTTGAACATTTTTTCATGTATTTGTTGGCTATCTATTTCTTTTTTTTTTTTTTTGAGAAATGTCTGTTTAATTGATTCACCCATTTATTTATAGGTTATTTGGCTTGTTGGTGTAAGTTTTTTTGAGCTCTTTATATATTCTAGATTTTAGTCAATTATCAGAAGAGTACGTAACACAGATTTTTCTCCCACTCTGACAGTTCTTTCTTCACATTCCTAATTGTTGTCTTTTCTGTGGAGAAGGTATTTTTAATTTGATGTCATCCCATTTATTAACACTGGCATTATATCCTGAGTTTTAGGTGTCCTATTGAGAAAGTTCTTGCCTGTGCCTGTATGCTGGAATGTTGAACCTCTGTTTTCTTCTAGGAGTTGCATAGTTTCTGGTCTAATTCCTAGATCTTTGATCCATTTTGAGTTGATTTTTGTTCAGGGTGAAAGATAAGGAGCTAGTTTTATTCTTCTACATATGGATAATTAGTTTTCGCAGCCCTATTTGTTAAAAGGCTTTCTTTTGGGGCTGGGGATATAACTCAGTTGGTAGAGTGCTTGTGTAGCATGCACAAGGCCCTGGGTTTAATCCCCTGCACCCCCACTGGTGGAAAAAAGGTTTTCTTTCTCCAGGGTATGTTCTTGGCAGCTTTGTCAAGGGTCAGATGACTGTAGGTATGTGAGTTTGTCTCAGTGTCTTCTGTTCTCTACTATTGGTCGAAGTTATCTGTTTTTACCCAATACTATGCAGTTTTTGTTACTCTAGTTCTATACTGTAATTTGAAGTCAGTTATTGTGATGCTTCCAGCATTGCTTTTTTGGCTTAGAATTGCTTTGGCTATTGTGGGTCTCTTATTCTTCTAAATGAATTTTAGAACTGTTTTTTCTTAGTTCTGTGGTATTTGGGTGGGAATTGCATTGAATCTTTATATTGCTTTTGGTAGTATGGCCATTCTAAAAATATTAATTCTGCCTATCCAATGAACTTATGAAGTTTTTCCATCTTCTGAGGTCTTCTTCAATTTTTGTACTTAATATTCTATAGTTCTTATTGTTCTAAATATAGGATCATATCATCTGCAAACAGTGATAATTTGACTTCTTCCCTTCCTAATTTTAACCTTTTTACCCCTTGCTCCCCCTTGCCTAATTGCTCTGGATAGAATTTCTAGCACTATATTAAATAGAAGTGGTAAGAGTGGACATCCTTGTTTTGCTCAAGATTTCAAAGTAAGTGCTTTCAGTTTTTCCCCATTTACTATGAGGTCAGCTTTGGGCTTTTTGTGTATAGCCTTTATGATGTTGACGTAGGTTSCTTATGTCCCTAGTTTCTTCAGTGTTTTTATCGTGAATCGAATTGGTGCTGAATTTTGTAGAAGTCCTTCCCTGTGTTATTCTGATGACTGATTTTTGTCCTTAATTCTATTTATGTGATGAAATACATTTATTGATTTGTTTATGTTAAACTATTCTTGCATCTCAGATAAAATCAACTTGGTTGTGATGAGCAATCTTATTAATATGTTATTGAATGCAATTTGCTAATATTTTAGTAAGGATTTGCATCTACATTGGTCTGAGTTTTCTTTCCAAATGTGTTCTTTTCTGGTTTGGTATGAGTATGATCCTGCTTTATAGAATGAATTTGAAAGTGTTTATCCCTTTCTATTTCATGGAATAATTTGAGAAATATTGGCATTAGTTCTTCCTTAAAGGTCTGGTAGAAGTTAGCTGAGGATTCATTTGGTCCTGGGCTTTTCTTTGTTGGAAGGCTTTTTGTTACTGCTTCTATTTCATTGCTGGTTATTGATCTGTTTAGATTTTCTTTGTCCTCTTGATTAAATTTTGGCAGATTGTATTTGTCTAGAAATGTATCCATTTCTTCTAGGTTTTCCAATTTATTGGAGTATTAATTTTCAAAATTTTCTGTAATAACCTGCTGAATTTGCATGATATCTGTGGTGATTTCTGCTTTTTCACCCCTAATTTCATTAATTTGGGTCTTCTTTCTTATTCTTTTGGTTTGGCTAAGGTTTATCAGCCTTGTTTATCTTTTCAAAGGACCAATTCTTTGTTTTATTGACCCTTCATACTGTTTTTTTCTCAAGTTTATTGATTTAAGCTCAAGTCTTATTTATTTCTTTCCTTTAACTAGTTTTAGAATTGGTTTGTTCTTCTTTTTCCAAGGGCCTTGCAATTCATCATTAATTGGGGATCTATCTGATATTCTTTTGTATGCACTCATAGCTATGAACTTTCCTTTTAGAATCGCCTTCAGGGTGTCCCAGAGATTCAGGTGTGTTGTATCGCTATTTTCATTTAAGTCTAAGAATTTTTTAACTTCTCCCCTTCCTATTTTTAACCTTCTATAAACCATTCATCATTCAAAAGTGTATTGCTCAATCTCCATGTTTTTATGTAATTTCTGTTGTTTTCTTTATGTTAATTTCTAATTTCATTTCATTATGATCTGATAAGATATAAAGAATCACATTAATTTGCTTAAAGTTATAAAACAGTGCTTTAGAAGTATGTAGTATTTGTCAGTAATACTAAAAGGCATGGAATTAGATATCTGGACTGCTGATTCTGTGACCTGAACTGGAAGCTAGTTCTTGAGTTTATTATTGATTTATGAAGTATTTGTTGAGTGCTTAGTATGTGCCAAGCATTTTGCTAGAGATACTGTTGATACAGAAATTTTAACTCAGTCACTATCCTTAAGGTGCTATTAGGAGAAGCAAAGAGAGAGATCATTACAGTAGTCTTTTATAAGAGTGTGTTTGAAGTATGCTCAAGATCCTGTGATATCTTAGAGGAGAATTACCTAATCCAAACTGGGGCAGATAAGTGTTTTGGGAAATTATTTGGAGGGTGGTGTGATTTCCAAGCTAAGAAAACCTTATGAGAGACAGCATTTCCAGGGGCTGGACTTTGTAGAGTCAGAGGCACAGTTATTTGTGAAAGTATTGCCTGTTCAGTAAACTCCAAGTAATTCTTTAAAGTTGTGATAGAGGACAGAAGAATAATGAGATAGATAGTTTTGGAGAGTCAAGGAACCAGGTATATTAATGAATACTTTTACCACCTTAGGTACCAAAAAATATGCTATTCGTAACTCTGAGGAGTCTTAGCCACTTATACTCCTTCTATCTTTGAAAGAATTTTAGTTTCAATAGAAATCTTAAGAGAAAGTTGACATTGTTCTCAATATTTTGCATACAACTGCCAGTCAGTACATGATTAATAATTAATGCCTCACTAAGATTTGGCAGGAACAAGTTAATCGAGCATGAAAGACTGTTCTGCCAAATACGCTTATATAGACAAAAATAAAGTTTAAATTCAACTGGGTTTCTTCATACCCTTCCTTTTAGAATGCAATTTTAGTTCTCTCAGGTTGGAAACACTTTGTCTTTAAAGGTCAAAGCAGGGGCTGGGGGTCGTGTTTTCAGTGGTAGAGCCCATGTTTAGCATGTACAAAGCCCTGAGGTTACCCTTCAATATAGGGGAAAAAAAGTCACAACAGAGAGCATGCCAATAGTTGTCTATTGGGCATTGATTTTTAAATTATGATTATGAAATTATCGATCAGAGCTGATAAACAATTTATAGATTATAGCCATTTAAAAATATCTAACATTGAGAATTATTTGTACAAACATGTTAGTTGGTTTATTAATTGAGCTTATTATATTGTACAAGTATATTAACTGGGTTTATTAATTAAGCCCAAGATATTTAACTATAAGGATGTAAAGTGGACCAGAGGGTTTAGAAAAGATGGGTTGGACATATAATCAAGAGGATTTGCTATATGTTTGAAAAAATAAAGTTTTATATTGATAAATATAGTAGAAAGTTAAAAGTTAAGGATATATGGGATATTTGAAGGCTTTTAGCAATTAACTGATTATAGTAAAGTTAAGAATTCCTAATCTGAAATCTGAGATTCTCTTAAGATCTGAAACTTTTTGAGTGTTGATATTACCACAAGTGGAAAATTCTGTACCATGAAATTTTGTTTCATGCACAAATTTAAAATATTATATAGTTACTTTCAGGTTATGCATTTAATGTGTATATTAAAATACATGAATTTGATGTTTAGAGTTGGATTTCATGCCCAAGATAGCTGATTTTATATGTGCATACATTCCAAAATTTAAAAAACCTTGAAATACAAAAGACTTTTAGTTCCAAATATTTTGTGTAAGAAATATTCAACCTATTTTTTATCTTAAGTTCTGTTTTGTGGCATTGGTGATTCTTTGTCTACATAAAATTCTAATAAATGGGATAAATAAAAAAAATTAAGTTGAAAAAAATTTGCAGTTTTCTAGACTTCACTTTTAGTTAGGTCTTAATTATATTGCGTGTGAACTTAATGTATACTGTAAAATATATATTGCATAAACATTCTTTAATGAAATCTGCTTCTGTGTGTTAAAAGATAATAACAAAAAGAATAATTAAGTATTTTTTTCTTTTGAGGTTGAAAGTCTTTCTAAGCGATATGAGGAAATTTATCTTAAAAACAAAGATCTAGACGCAAGATTATTTTTGGATCATGATAAAACTCTTCAGACTGATCCTATAGACAGGTATTTCACATGGAATATTTTTATTTGTTATGCTTTTGATATAGATTGATATTGATATAGGTAAATAAGATAGGTTTTTATTAACTTACTGACCTGTAAATAAACATCATTTTATAATAAGTTAATTTAAATGCCTTTAAAGAAAAAAGTAACAGTATCTATTCTAAGCATATAATTTTATAACAATGTAGAGATTTAATATGAATTGTATTCTATAACAATATATATCTTTTTTTCAGATAGTTGAATATACATGTACACCAAAAGAAAATGGTTAAACTAATTAGTTTACTCAAGTGGTGGTCTCTGTTTTTTATCTTTTTTTTTTTAATCTCTTATTGCCCACTTCATTCATTTAAAAAGTTAATGCCAAGTTTATTTTCTTGAATTGTTGGGAAGGATCCTAAAATATAAATGGACAAGAGTTATTATAATATTACATGTAATTTGGAAATTAAATAGAGTAAAATGTTTTAAATTTAAGTAGACAAAATTTTTAGAAGGCACAGTGTGATACAAAACTTGAGCTTTGATATTTTAAAATACTTCAACTTCTTGGTTATTAATGTCACCAGCAAGAAAACATCTAACTTTCACTTTTGAGAATCTGCTTAAAAGTGGGTACATCTCTTTGTCATAAACCTAGTAGAAAGAGACCCACACTTGAGTTTATACCCAAAGGACTTAAAAACAGCATACTATAGTAATGCAGCCACATCAATGTTTATAGCAGCACAATTCACAATAGCTTAATTGTGGGACCAACCTAGATGCCCTTTAGTAGATGAATAGATAGAGAAAATGTGGTATATATACATGATAGAATTTTACTCAGCATTAAAAGAGAATAAAATCATGGCATTTGCAGGTAGATGGATGGAGTTGGAGAATAATATGCTAAGTGAAAAAAGCCAATCCCAAAAAAACTAAATGTGTAATGCTTTCTCTGATATGAGGATGCTGATTCATAATGGGGATGGGAGGGGAGCATAGGAAGAATGGAGGGACTTTAGATAGGGCAAAGAGGCTGGAAAGGGAGGAGACAGGGGTGGGGGTAGGAAAGATTGTGAAATGAGATGGACATCATTACCCCAAGTACATGTATGATGACATGAATGGTGTTACTCTACTTTGTATACAACCAGAGACATGAAAAATTGTGCTCTCTGTGTGTACTATGAATTGAAATGCATTGTGCTGTCATATATATAGCAAATTAGAATAAATAAATAAATTTTAAAAAAGAGACCCATACTTAAAATGGTGCTGAAGAAAATCATTTGAGCAGCAGTTGGGTTATCTATTTCCTATCACTTCTGTTATTGACTTAGCAATTTGTATGATTTTATGAAGCTACAGGAAGTATTTTATTTGACCCATAAAACACAAATTGCAAATTTATGATGTGAATGATTTTGCTTATCATTTAGTTTTGACACACAAAGAACACCACGAAAAAGTAACCCTGATGAAGAGGTGAATGTGATTCCTCCACATACTCCAGTTCGGTATGAGATTTTCTTTCTTCTAGTATTCATTATAATTGTTTATTCAGTGTTTTATAGTGCTTTAGGTTTGTTTAATTGTTTCTTTTTATATTTGTACATTCATGTAGCAAATATGTATTGAGTGCTCATTGTATTCCAAGYACTTAATGATTTGCTTAGGTTATTATCATTATAGTTTTGTCTATCCTTAAGGAACACAATATAAAATGTGTATGTGTTCCATCTTAGTAAAGAAAAAAGAAAAGTTTCACTATTTGATCTGCATATAACCTTGAAGAAATAAAACCATTTTTTATGTCTGTTTCCTCACTCACTTCACATGTCTAAACCTGCTATCAAGAAATGTTGACTCTGCTTCCAAAGTATTTCTTAAGTCCATCTGCTTTTCCCCATCTACTCTAACCACCCTTGTCCTAGACATATTTATCTTGTGGTTTTTGCAATAGACTGCTAACTGATCTTGTTGTTTCTGCTGTTATCACTGATCCTCTTTCCCACCATCAAATCAAAACTTCACAGAACCCTAAGAACAATATTCTAGAAGTGTAAATAAGATCATGTCTGTTCACCCTCCTGTTAAAATCCTCTCATTGCTTGTATAATTATGTCAAAATAGATTATACTGTCATGTATAATTAAAAAGAACCAATAAAAAACTTCTCTCATTGCTTCCTTTTGCAATTAGAATACAATACACATTCTTTAATAATGCCTACAAGACCTTAACTGACCTGTTTCTATTGCTTCTCCAGCCTCATCTTGTTTTGTTGCTCACCCTGCATTAGCCATGTGTTGGTTTTCTTTCATTTTCTTGTATTCTTCAAGTTCTTTTGTACTGAAGACCTTTATTCTTAATATTCTCTTTTCTTGAAACTTCCTTTTTTTTTGCAGGGGTAGGGTATGGATTTCCAACTGCTGTTCTTCATGTTCAGCATAAATGTTGCTTTTTTAAAGATGTATTTCTCTTTGAATTATTTTTCTTTAATAATGCCTACAAGACCTGTTCTGTACCTTTATAGCCTGTATCACAACTTGTAATTATAAATTAATTTGTGTATTTACTTGTTTTTCACTAATACCCACAATAGCCTTTAAATTTCATGCCATATGGACTGTGTCTTTTTTTGTTCATGATTTAATAATTAAGGCCTGGCATAGTACTTGGTATTAGTAGGCAATCATGTTTTGAATAACTGTATYGGTATATAAACAATTTTTAATATAAGTTTTGTTATAGACTTGTTATTAAAATGATGCAGAAGAGATTTTATGAAGCAATGTCTGAACTGAATTTTGAAACATCTGTCTCACAGGACAGGCATTTTAGGGAGCTGAAAGAGCATGTACAAAGGCATGGTAGTGTGAATTAGCACAGTGTATCTGGGGAATTGTTAGCAGATATGTATTGATTGTGAAATGAGGGGATGAAACAGCAGGAGTGGAGAAGTGGGTACTAGACATGAAGGGCCTTGTATGCCATATTCAAGTACAGACTTCAGTTTGTCCATGATGTCACTTGTGCTATAAGTGGGTGATAAGCAGGGGTAAGAATGAAGTCAGACTTGATTTTTACAAGCTTACATGTTAGTAGTTTGTGAGAGAATGGACTGAAGAGGACAGAACAAAGTGAGAAATAAACCTGTCTCAGAACTTCTTAACCCAGAGTGCAAATTAAAATAACCTGAGGAATTTTTTTGGAGTACACTTGCCTAGGTCTTACTACTTCAGATGGTGAGTAAAAATCTCTAGACTGACCCATTGCAGTAGTTGAGTTGAGAGATGTGGAAGATCTGAAGAGAGTAGTGGTGGGAATGAAGGAGCAGGAATAATTTTGATGAATTCATACTGAGAATATTATTGAGGCATTTATGAAGACACTTTCTAATAAGCAGTAGGATATAAGGCTCTTACAGGTTTGGGAATTGTCAGACAAAGTTAAAGCCATAAAAAATAGATGTGATTGGGGTTTGGGGTTGTAGCTCAGCGGTAGCGTACTTGCCTACACGTGGGGCTCTGGGTTTGATCCCCAGTACCATATTAAAAAAAATAAATGAAAGTTTAAAAACAAAAGATGTGGTTACCTGAAGTGATGGTATATAGTGGCAAGAATAGGTAGCAGGGGCTGAAACCTAAAGAATGCATTTTAAGGGCTGGATAGATTTTAGAGAATGAGAGAGTAGGTGGTTTGGGAGACTAGAGGGAGACATCAAGAAAGTCAAGGGAGGGCTCTGGTTTCAGGAAAGCACAAGGGCTTGAGGTGAAATGCTTCAAGGAAGTCAGTTGTTGGAACAGATTTTTGGGTTTAGCAATTGGTCGTTTATGGTTTTAGTCATTGTTGCTTAATTAGGTTAATGAACATTGAAGCCACATGGCAATGTTTGAAAGGTAAAGTATAGGTACCAGTTTAGGGAGGTTTGGCTAAGAATACTGCACATATTTTACTAAATAATATTTGAGAAGCTTTTAAGCCCTAAACATTGTACAGTTCTGTGAATGATTAAACAATGTATCAAATGTATTTTATTTGAGAGTAGGTACATTTCATTTGTACTTCAAAATTGCAATATTAGTCTTTACTATATACCATATACGCATATGTGCATGTGCATATGCATGGTAGAGAAATAAAGACTCTTTAAGAGACTGATCTAATTTTATGCTTTAACTGTAGTGACTTAAAATTACTCAGGACCTTAAATGTGTTTCGTTGAAGTTCTCTGTAAAGAAGAATCATTTGATTCTTTACTTGAGTTACTAAATGTCTTACTGTCTTTGAGAATTTAATGTTTAATTGTATAAGCAAAACATTGCCTCATGATGTCTATTATCAAGAGACTCAAAGTCTGTTCTAATTGTACACTATAAAAACCAAAATAGCATTTACAACAAATATTCACATAAATATGCATTTTATTTGCATCTTTTGTAGTTAATGAATATATAAAAATTTTAAGGTAATAGTATTTTCAAAACTGCTCCACCAATACTTCATTAAAAATAAACACTTAACCTTACTCACATTTAACCTTACTCACTGCTATATATCTAGGCTTACCAAAAATTAGAATGTTAACACACAATCAGGTCTTATCTTTAGATGATGTTTAAAGTGGTTATAAAGAATATTGCTGCATGTTTTGTAAAATCTTCACAGTTGATTTTGAAGATATTGTCTATTGTGTATTTCAGAGTCTCTCTGTAAAGGTTTATATATAAATGTTTTTTATATGCAAAAAACCTAAATTGTAATAATGTTTTCTTGAAAGATTACTATTTTGATGTCAGTTTTTCTCCATATGATATAAAATTTATGATGCCATATATTTTTCCAAAATATAATATCATTAATTTGACCAATTAATATTTTATTGATACTTAGTTTTATTAGTAAGTGTATCAGTCCTATAAACATAAACTTATTATGAATACTTGTTAAAGATGTAAGCAGAACATAATTTCTTATGAATCACAGTACACTAAGGGTTTTTTCCCCCCATAAGTCTTATTTCAGGGAACTTTGTAAAGATAAATGGGATAGACAGGATATCAAAAGAACTTGAGATAGGTGCATTTCATTTGTTCTTTTTCTTCTTTGCTTAATGCTGCTTCCTTTTTTCTCCCCTCTAGGACCGTTATGAATACTATCCAACAATTAATGATGATTTTAAATTCAGCAAGTGATCAGCCATCAGAAAATTTGATTTCCTATTTCAATGTAAGCCATCTATGAAACATATTTCGTGATATCTTGGTAAAGAAATATGAAATTAGAAGTTAACATATATTTACCCATTATCTTATTTTTTGCTTTTAAAATTTTACTAATTAGATATTAATAGTATTATTTTATTTAGGCAGTGTTATGTTTTGATTTTCTTAGGTTTATCATTTGCCTTATCATCATTACTTCTTGCAACTTAGACCTAACTTCTGAGATAATTTTCTTCCTTCTTCAGACATATTTTTAAATATTCCTTTAGCAAGTTTAGTTTGGGGTAAAAGTACAGTTTTTTGTTTTGTTTTGTTTTTTGTCTAAAAATGTGTTTACTCTTATTTTTTTTAAGATGGATCTTCGATTCTAGGTTGACATGTACTTTCTCTCAGAAGTTTAAAATAACTACTTTACTATTTTGATATTGTTACTTTACTATTTCTTGGCTCCCAAGGTGAATAGTTAAGAAGTCTTCTGTAGACCTACTGTTGTTCCTTTATAGTTAATCTGTCTTTTCTCTCTGCCTGCGTAAATCTTAAAATCTTTTCTTTGAACACAGTGTTAGGTAGGACTTAACACTCACCACAGCCCTGCAATCTTTTTTTTAATCCCACTTTCAACCCATTTTCATTTGAAATTCTTGCCTGGCTCTGTGTGCATTGCACTTTTCAATTCCTGATTGACTTTGAGTTTGATATATGAAAGCCCCTGCTGATCCCTCCCTGAAAAAAAAAAAAAAGAGAGAGAGAGAGCGAAGAAGAAAGAATGAAAACTAGCATCAGTATTGCCGGCTTGCTTCATCACTCCTTATATAAACTCAAATCATGAGGGTTGGGACCCACCAAAGTGCTCATCTGTGGAAATTGTACAAGGCCAGGATTCTTATTAAAAATTTGGGTTATTCTGGTCATTACTTTCTATAATTGTTAACAGTGACTTTGTCATGTTGTATTGTCCTGTCTTGCTATGTCCTGTCCAGGAATTAGCAAAGTAATTTCTTTTATTCATAATTGTGTTGGTGTAGAACTGATTTTGTTTGTCTAACTTATATAAAGTTACTTTTGTTTATGAGTTATCTGTAGCATGAGAATTATTTGCCCAAACGTATCAACCTAGTTACCTAGAACTTTTAGCAAGTAATAATGATAGAAGTTAAAAGACTGATAATCTCATCTCAGTGCCATTTTTTAAATGCTTCTTCCAACTTTTGGAGCTTGTTGGAGCTCTTTTTTTTTTTTTTTTTTAATTAATTCCGTTGGACAGAAAGTTCTGCCTCAGAGACATTCTCTAAAGCTCATTTTAAAGCTTAACTTTTAATGAAACTTTATAACTTCTTTTAATGAAACTTTATAACTTCTTAATTGTATATCAATGACATCTTGCCTCAGAGTGAGGCAGAGTGTCCTGAAGGTCATTACGTTTTTCCTTGATTTTACTTCTTTATTATAAACTCAGGCTTTTTCATTTTTAAAATTAATGGTATCTTCTCTGAGTGTAAAGTCTTAGACTCTGGGCATATTTTAATTGACATTTGGCAGCAATGATTTTATGACAGGAAAGACCTCTTTATTATATATTTCAAAACGTCCAAAGGCTTGAGCTTGGTAGTATTTATTTTTTCATCCATCCATTTATTCATTCATTTTTGCATACTGGGAACTGAACCTAGGGGTGCTTTACAATTGAACTACATTCAAGTCTTTTTTACTTTGTATTTTGAGACAGGATCTTGCTAAGTTGCCAAGGTTGACCTTGAACTTGTGATTCTCCTGTTTTAACCTCTCAAATAACTGGAATTTTAGGACTATGCTTCGGTACCTAATGAATATATTTTTATACCTTGTGATATATTTTTACTGTAGCATAATATGAATTATAGAATAGAACATCATACTGCTTCTTTTTATGTATCATCTTCTAATGTGTGTTAATTATTAAAGTTGATAGGGCCTCACACTCCAAATGATACATGTATTGGAACTTATTTTTATTGTTCTAGTTTTTAGTATATATGCTGCTTAAGTGAGCACTGGAACTTCTTTTGTTAACTATTTTCCCATACTAGTTTCTGAAAATGTTATTAAATAATATGGCTAGTTTTTAACTCTTCTAAAGCATAATTTTAAATTAAGAAATTATATTGAGCTTAAATCTTAGTTTTATATCTTCCACTGGCTTTTTTTGTGAAGGGGGTGACATACATTCAAATGCAACTGTTAATTGAACATATTTTATGAAAACATGTGATGAATAGAAAGGCTAACAAATCTGAGGTCCCCTAAACCTAGCAGCAGAAATTGTAGGTAATAGAGTTTTTTAATTCTTCTTGAAAATTTCTTGGACACTAACATCCAATGAAATTCTGCTTCGATTCTGTGGTTGTGTTTACCTAGTTATTATAGAAGTGTTTCCATATTTTTATAAACACTCAAAAACTCAGTCATGATATATGGAACAGAAAATTTTAATTCTGATTAAATGCTATTGTCAATATTGATTTCTGTTTATATTTCTTAAAGAACTGCACGGTGAATCCAAAAGAAAATATTCTGAAAAGAGTGAAAGATATTGGACACATCTTTAAAGAGAAATTTGCTAAAGCTGTGGGACAGGGATGTGTTGAAATTGGATCACAGGTAAGTTGAGTTCATTTTCATCAATGCCTGTCTATAGCAATAATTTTAAAGGCAGCATCTGTTCAGATTGTACAGATACTAAACAAATAATAGTATTTGTCTAATAGTATAATTGGCGGATTATATATCCCATCTGCCTATGTATGTTGCTATTTATGAGAAACCTTAAGAGAAATTATTCCCCATCCCTTTACAGAAAGAAAAGTGTACATACCAATTGTGGAAAATTTAGAAAATATAAGTAAGCAAAAAAAATTAAAATCTCATCTTAAATTTTTGATGTATATGCTATGACTTCTATATGTGTCAATACTCATGTATACATACACTTATGTAAATGGGATTATACTATATATGCCAATTCTCAGTGATAGTGATATTATTCAGATAATCTAAAACCAATATATTGGGTAAGAGTATGGATTATGGAATTATGGAATACTGGGTTTACATCTGGTTCTATTATTTGTGAGCTGAGTGATCTTGAACATGTCGTTTAACTTCTCTGAGATTCAGGTTCTATATTTATTCTGCTTTGTTGTGTGGCATTAATGAGGGCAATTTTGTAAAGATAAGTTTGAAAATTATAATCCATTGTACACATTTATTTCAGTGTCATGAGATTATAGTTTTATGCCATAATGCTTTAAACAACTATACTTAAAAGTTCTTTTTTGGTTGTATATGACATTTGAACTCTTAATTTGGAATGAAGAACTATGGTTTGTGTATGTATATATGTGCATGTAACTGAAAATATTTGGTTATTCTTTCAACTGAAAGGAAGTAGTTATTTGGTTAAAACATTTTTCTGAGAAGTTTAGTTTTGTCTGACTTTGACTGTGGCAGGGTTACTGAGTTTTTCAGAGTTTTTTTAATTAGGAACTATTTTCTAATTCTAAATAGCTGTTCTGAAAATAGATGTTCTAGATTATAAGAAGCAGGTATGTAAGTGCTTAAAATATTGTACTGGACATATAATCTACCCTTTAGTATAAATAATGTAGACTGAAATGCTGTTAGAGAATCAGGTAATGGATCTAACCTCTTGATAGCTTATTGGGAATATGAAACATTACTTTCTATTTAAGTCTTGAGTTTTAGGTAGTCTAGCTTTTGTGGGTTTTTTTGTAACCATATTTCTTTTTTATTTTTTTTATTTTTTGGTGGGGGGGTACCGGGAATTGAACTCGGGGGCATTCGACCACAGAGCCACATTCCCAGCCCTGTTTTGTATTTTATTTAGAGACAGGGTCTCACTGAGTTGCTTAGCGCCTCGCTTTTGCTGAGGCCGGCTTTGAACTCATGATCCTCCTACCTCAGCCTCCTGAGCCACTGGGATTACAGGCATACACCACTGCATATAGTTTGATAGCCATATTTCTAAAAAGGGTCAGAAGTATGTTGCAAGAAAAGATTGTTACAAAAAATTAGTGATTATTGTGATGTTCTAAAATAGCAAGTTCTTCTTTTTCTTTTTCTTTGTTGTAGCGATATAAACTTGGAGTCCGATTATACTACCGAGTAATGGAATCCATGCTTAAATCTGTAAGTTTAAAAAAATATAGTAGAAAAAAAATTAACTTTGACACAAATATTAAGTTTCAGTTAAACTTTTAAAAACATTATCTGTTTTAGGAAGAAGAACGACTCTCCATTCAAAATTTTAGGTAATTTATTCTTTTAGTTTTAGTCAGCAGTTTCTTCTTTTTATAAAAGTAAATATTTTAAAATCATTCTCCTTTTTTCTTTCAGCAAACTTCTGAATGACAACATCTTTCATATGTCTTTATTGGCGTGTGCTCTTGAAGTTGTAATGGCTACCTATAGCAGTAAGTTAAGTTTTAGTAAATATATGTTTTAGTTGAATTTAAAGTTAAAAAAATACTCCAGGTGTGTTATATTTTTTGTTTTGTTTGTTGTTTTTAGAGGGGGTACGTGGTAAAGAGAAGAAAAGCATATTGTAGATGAGTATATACTGAAGAATATAATTGGTTGTCATTTAAATAGTTGCTATTTAAATAGTTTATCTGAATTATTTCAGGCCATCTCGGGGGTGGATTTCCCTAACCTATTCTGAACAAATTGAAGAGGTACCTTTTGAAATCCTTTAAAAAATCTGTAAGATTGTAAAGTGCCAAAGCAGTTTTTAAAGAGTAGACAATAATAATTGAAAGCATTGTTATAACAATGCTTTGGTCACTAGACCACAGGTTAGAGCTGGGATCCACCAGAGCTTCAACGCTTTCTTAATTGGTGCCTGCTTTTAAGCAAATTATGAAAAATCAATAATTTGTTGATAAACAAAACAAGGGCCAATAACAGTGTTTTTAAAATATAATTTTAAATATATTATTTTGTAGATAGTGTTGCAAGTGTTAAAAAGTTATTCTTGCAGAAACAGAAGAGGAACATTTATTTAAGGATACAAGTACACAATTAAAAAGGAGGAACTTGAATTAATAAATACATATGGAAAACTGTTAATCCTCATTAATAACCTTAAATGCACATTTTAAAGAAATTCCATTTTCAAACTAATGAATTAAATTAGCAAATCTGAAAGCTTCTTTTCTACTCTCCACCAAGAATTAATGAGAGAATTGAAATATATATGCTTATGAATTGCTGATAAAATAACAAACCTGTCCCTGATAAGAGTTTAGAGTATTTAAACCTTTGAAAACTTGATGCAAGCTATGAGCCAGTTCTCAAGAAAAAACATACATGCACATACACTCAAAAATTTGGGAGCCTATTTCTTGGGAGCCTATAGACTTCAGAATAAAAAATTCTGCTCTAAATACAAATTATTTAATTCTTTGTTTGACAAGACCTTCCGAATAAAAATACTTAGTTCAGGTCTTAACATTTCATATCTATACATTTTTTCTTTCATTTTTAGGAAGTACATCTCAGAATCTTGATTCTGGAACAGATTTGTCCTTCCCATGGATTCTGAATGTACTTAATTTAAAAGCCTTTGATTTTTACAAAGTGATTGAAAGTTTTATCAAAGCAGAAGCCAACTTGACAAGAGAAATGATAAAACATTTAGAACGATGTGAACATCGAATCATGGAATCCCTTGCATGGCTCTCAGTAAGTAACTAGCTAAAATAATTAAAAATCTTTATATGTATACGGATAACAATAGTATCTATTAGTGAGACATATTTCTTAACATCTACTTTAAAAGCAAATATGCAATTTCATGAATAATGTTATTTCAGTGTATATAGATAGCTCAGGAATCAAGTGGAATATTAGAATGAAATTTTCTTTAAGCTCCCCAGAGCATCTAATATAGTGATTTATTTTGGAGTAGTTTCTCTTAAAACATGGCACTTTAAAATAAAAAAGAAGTCTTTAAAGTAGTTAGGTAATTTATTAAAATATGTGTTATGATTGACAACGTAAATGCTCTTAAATTTCAACAAATTAAGAATTTGAGATTGTGCTATTTATATGATTTAAAAGAACATTTTTCCTGTTCAATTTAGTAGGAGTCATTTTGTCCCATTATTAAAGATAATACAAAAAAATCTACATCATAGTTCAATTATAGGTATTGTTTAAGGCATTATAGCAACACAAATCATATTCTCTAAGTCTTCTATTTATAGCATGCAAGGTTTTGATAAATATTTTGTTTTAATAAAAGTGACATTTTCTGTGTACTAATTTTAAAGTATTTATTTGCAGTTCTGTTATACTACTATGAAATCTGCATAGTTGGATTATACTTTGTGAATCATCAGATTTATAGACTAATAACTCATTTCTTTTGAAACTGTGTTACATGCTAAGCATATACAAGTTGAGCTCCAACAACAAAAAGTTTATCAAGTTTTGTAGCATTTTCAGATTTTGGATTTTCAGATTAGGGGTGTTCAACTGGTAATGTCTATGCAAACATTCCAAAATCAAAAAAACTCCAAAATTTGAAATACTTCTCAAATGAAGCATTTGAGATTAGATTCCACCTGCATATATCTTTTTAACTTATATCAATTTATAGAAATAATAGAAAATTAAGACTTCTTACGTTACAATCCTAATATGTATGGTAACCTTAGTTTTAATTTTTTGATGTTCTGGATATTAAATGATTGAGAGTCTGTTTCCTAGTCTTTTCTTGTATTGTCACATAGCCATTGGATGGAGAGAGAAGTAAAGAATATTCATAGAAAAATACGACATTGCCATTACTGGATTTGGTAACTCCTTGTAGGACATATTTCCACTTGATAAGAAAAGGAGTAGTTAAAACTTTTGGAATCTGGGACATTAATCTAAAATAGCAAAAATCAATGAATTGATTAAAAAAATAAGTACTTTTCAGAAACTCTGTCCCCTCCTTCAGAAATTGAGATCAGGTTATTACTTTATCATGTGAAAAAGGCTATTATTACTATTATTTTTTAAAATTATTTTTCGGTATTAGAGATTGTTCCCAGGGACACTTTACCACTGAGCCCAGCCCTTTCTGTTTTTTATTTTGAGACAGGGTCTCACTAGGTTTCTTTGACTAGCCTTAAATTTGCGATTCTTCTGCCTCAGCCTCCTGAGTTGCTGGGATTACAGGCATGCACCACTGTACCTGACTCTTATTTCTTTCAGATAATTAACTTTATTTCCGTCAGGACATAATTATACAACATTCTCTGTGAGTTTACAAAAATGAGGGCTCTGAAAACTTGCGTAGAAAAAGTAATAGAAGTTTATCTTTTCAAAAATTGTTGTGTTCAAGCCTTTTTAGCTCAATTACTGGAATTCAAAGATTCTGAATACATTACTTTAATTTTGAAAATTTTTGAAGAAAAAAATGAGATGCTCAAAGTTTGGAAAAGAGTATAATTTATTTATGATGGGATGATGTAGAAGCCATAAGCCTCTGAATTTCAGTTCTAATTGTAATCTTTCTAGGAGATGAAACCAGAGGACTTTTAGTTATATATTGCTAATGTTTGGATTTTATATTACTTTTTAATTGTACAAATATATAGTGGTAGTGGATAACTTTGTGTAATAAGTCATTCCATACAAACAGGATATGTATGTATTCCTCTGGGAGTATTTGGCATTATAGAGAAGGGACATGATAAGCTTTCACAGACTTTTTTAAAAAAATTTGAAGTATTTTATATGTATAATATATATATGCATATATATTATATATATTATAAAATATATAAAAAAGCTGGGTGTAGTTGTGCACTTTTGTCATTCCAGTGTCTCAGGAGGCCAAGGCAGGAGGATTGTGAGTTCAAAGCCAGTAAGCAACTTAGTGGGACCCTGTCACAAAAGAAAAAATAAAAAGTTTGGGGATGTGACTCAATGGTTAAGTGCCTACTGATTCAATCCCTGGTATAGAACAAAGAAACAAAATTGTATTATATACAAAAGTGACTATTTCAAGTGACGGATAAAATTTTCACAAATTAAACACACCACTCTAACAAACATTCAGATCAAGACTCAGCAAGGTTTCATAGTCTTTTCATCAATATCACAATAAAAATTCCTCATCAGTGCTGTAAATCCTTGAGAACATATTCATACAGTGTTGTTGACCTAGGGGAAACATCAAGTGAGGTGATACTTAATTTTCCCCCATAATAATTGTGTGTGTGTGTGTGTCTGTGTGTGTGTGTGTGTTGGGGATTAAACTCAGGGCAGCCCATGTGCTAGGTAAGTGTTCTAGCACTAAACTAAGCCCTTAGTCCCCGCCCCTAATAATTTAAGGAAGAACATGGTTGTATTTTTAATGATCCTGTGGGGAAACAGGTTCRGTATCTGTGCTTGACAGTCTTGAGAAATAAGGGATCAGGAAGGAAAGAGTACCCTTCTGTTTCTTTTCATCCCAGGAGAGTTAGCAGGCAATATGTAAGTGTATAAAGCTGGGGCACACTATTGAAAAACCTAGTAAAATCCCATTCTCTGAAAATATAAAAAATTAAAGATGATATAGAATATTTTATACCCAAGGGTTAGATTAAATAAGTTCCAGATGTTTGGGCCTATTAAATCTGTTAAGAAGTTTATAATTCTAGGGGGTGATGAAATGAGATCTGGATTTCTTATTTTCAGAGTCTTCTAAACATACTCAATATTTTTTCAATAAACCAAGCTACATCAGGTACTTCTCTCAATGGTCTTTCTTTCCTGAATTACTGTGAACTGCTATTGATCTACCATATACTACCTTGAGACCATATCTGTCACAGCATCCAAAGAAGTCTTATAATTACAGATATTATCATGCTAATTTGCGGAGATCATATTCATCAGGTGATGATGGAAAAACACCCTCCTGCCCGGTGTGGTGGCACACACCTATAATGGAGGGTTCAAAGCCATTCCCAGCAACAGTGAGACGCTAAGCAACTCAGTGAGACCCTGTCTCTAAATAAAATACAAAATAGGGTGGGGATGTGGCTCAGGGATCAAGTGCCCCTGAGTTCAATCCCCAGTATGCCATCTGAAAAGAAAAGAAAAAGACCATATGACTCCCTACAAAATGAGACTCAATATAATCTATATAGAGTACAAAAAGCAACATCTTGAAACCACTGGACGGGAAGAACAGACAGACTCTAGTTGAGAAGGGAAATGAGGGGAGCTATGAGCCTCTGGAGGAATGAAGCTTTTTGTCTGGGACTAAGTGCAGTATGTGTACAGAAGGACAGTAGAGAATGGAAAGAGGGCCTTCCAATGAAGGAAACTAGAAAATTGAAGCTGAAGAAACCCTGGCTATTGAAGAAAGTTGAAGAGTTTTGCAAGAGAAAGGGTGACCAAATTCTGTTCACCCACATCTCTGACTGAAACCTGACTCAAACTTAGAACAACTTAATAAAGGACAGAAGGTCTGAACTGAAACTGGAGCTGCTGCCCAATAAATGGTTTGTACAGTTCAAGTTCAGCAAAGATAATTGCCTGTTGAAACAAGCAACAGCCAGGCACCTCTGCACACACCTGTAATCCCAGCGATTCAGGAGGCTGAGGCAGAAGGATCGTAAGTTCAAGGTCAGCCTCGGCAACAAACTAATGACAAAAAAAAAATCTCATATGAGAAAAATTCAGAATCTTCACAGTATAACACGGTGCAAAGAATATAATTCTAAAATTATCTAGCATATTAAGAAGGTCAGAAGAACATAGTGTGTGCTTTTAGAATGAGAGCTTTACGCCAACTCTTTGATGCCTGAAAGACCTTTTGTGTGTGTTGGGGAGGATGGAGGGCAATACTGGGAATTGAACCCAGGGGTACTTAAATACTGAGCCACATTCCCAACCCTTTATTTTTTCTTTTGAGACAACCTTTTACTAAGATGCATAGTGCCTTGCTAAGTTGCAGAGGCTGGCCTTGAACTTGTGATCCTCCTGCCTCAGCCTCCTGAGATGCTAGGATTACAGGACTGTGCCACTGTGTGAAGCTCAAAGACTCTTTGTTAGAAGTATTGTCTCCTTTTTTCTTAAGTCAGCTGTTCAAAACATGAATTAGGATTCTCTGGCAATTTCTGAAACCACTTGAGGGAATCTGCATAGTAAAAACTGTTTTATTATTACTCTTAAGGTGTTATTTATTTTTTCCAGTCTGTTGACATTTAAACTCATGATGTGAAACTGTTGGCACCATTACCCGAAATAAAGCAGTGGCTCTAAAATGGCTAGTAATCATTGCATTTTCACTACTATACATTCTCAGTTAAAAAATGAAACAAAATGTGTCAGTTTCATTTTAGAATATCCTTGATGAAGCAGTTGGAAAGTATTTTATTAAATCTCCACTTGAGTACTTTGGGGTTTTTTGTTGTTGTTGTTGTTTGTTTTGTTTTTTTAGCTTTTAGCTTTTTTTCCAGCTGCATACCAAAGTGCAAAAGTTGTCGTGAGGAAAAGCTTGTATATTGGTTAAGTTGTGAACTGAACTCGTCATTCTTCATGAAACACGTCTTTTACTTGTAAGACTGATGAGCAGTTGTTTGTGTAGTCTTGRATATTTGGCAGACATTTTCTTGAAAATGAATAAACTGAGCATGTTACTTGAAGGAAAACAACTGACAGTGATGATTGCCAATGACAAATTATGTGTTTTCAAG